GAAGGAAGGAAGGAAGGAAGGAAGGAAGGAAGGAAGGAAGGAAGGAAGGAAGGAAGGAAGGAAGGATGGATTCTGATGCTCCCTGCCAGCTTCCCACAAGCAAAGTCAATGAGGAAGCTGGCAGCAAGTCTCAAGTCATTCCCACTGCTTTTTTGTCCTTGGTCATTCTGTTTCTCTGTTTAGGTAAGGAAAAATCTTTGAAACAATGACCCAACAGGTCACGAGTTGTCTAGTTTTCTTCTAAATGAACATGCTTAGAATTATGCTATAGTTTTTATAGTAGACTTTTGCAAATTTAGTTTGGACTGTTAAATAGCTTTTTTGAATTGTACTTAGAATGAACATTGAAATACTTTATTTGCTCATTTAAAAACTTTTTCTCTGCAGTGAAAATGTCGCTGTATCCTTCCCTGGAGGACTTAAAAGTAAACAAATTAATTCAGGTATGGCAAAATACATTTTATAATAAAGATGAACTTTTCTTGTGGCTAGAACTCAGGATTTGAGATTTCTGAAGTATCACCATAACAGTAGCTTAAAAAATATTTTCGGTATAAATATTAAATTTCATTATGTATATAACAAAAAATCACCTGGAAAGATGAAACTCACATTTTTTCTAGGAGCACTCTTAGTTATCCTGTTAAAACAAACTGAAGAATATTTCCATATCCAAAATTGGTCAGCTGTAGGTTGGCATGAGTAATTCTCTTAATCTGTTTATGCCTGATAAGCAGAATAGGGCTACCCATAGCTTTGTATAATGCTAGAGGGTATATTCTATACCTTACTAGACAAATGATTTCAGCAACCATGGTTTGAATGCTATGGGCAGGTCATCCCATTTCTGACATGTGGCCCTACCATGGTTTACTTCAGATACCTGTGGAAGCTAATCTTAAGGCCTGATTGCAGCTTTAAAACTTGATTTCTTGAGAGAATGTGGTATTGCTGGGGGAAGAATAAACCCTTCTCTTACTAGCAGTGACCTTCCACTAAGATGATAATCAGCCCTAAAAACAGTATCAATTAATAATAATAGAGGTGATTTTCAAGTCTGACAGAGGGGACAAATAACCTATCTATCAACTGACGCTAAGTATACAGGTAGTCCCCAGTTTAAGAACGAGTTCCATTCCCAAGGTCTGTCCTTAAGTTGAATTTGTATGTAAGCCGGA